TCCTACCAGCAGCGCTCCCTTGGGGATCTTGGCCCCCAGCTTGGTGTACTTGTCCGGGTTCTTCAGGAAGTCCACCACCTCCTGCGGGGGGGGGGGGAGGAGGGGAGGGAGCGGGGTGAGGAAGGATGAGGGGGGACACGAGCAGGAGCAGGAGGGAGGACAGGAGCGGGGTGGGTAAGTTTCCTCGCCACGCCACACCACACCGCAAACCCACCCACCCCACCGCACCACACACACCCCACCCCACCCCACCGCACCTGCAGCTCCAGCTTGGCCTGGTCGCAGCCGGCCACCTGGTCAAACATGACGCCCGTCTCGGGGATCTCCTGGAACTTGGACTTGGAGCGGCCAAAGTCCATGGGGCCCCCCATGGGGCCCATGCCGCCGCCCCCCTGCGGAGAGGGGGAGAGAGAGGGAGGGGGGCGCGGCAGGGAGGGGGTGAGGGGGCGGGTGAGCAGTGCACGGCAGGGGGGGTCAGGGGGCAGGCGAGAGGCGAGAGGCTGGGTGGGGGAGCGAGGGGCTGGGTGGGGCAGCGCTGAGTGGAGGGGAGGAGCAGGAGGGCGCGTGCGTGGCGGGCGCTGCGCGGGCTGCGCTCACCGAACCGTCGCCGGCGCGGCGGAAGAGCAGGAAGAGGCCGGCAAAGGCGATGAGGGGGAAGAGCAGGTTGCCCAGCAGCGCCACGTAGTTGCCCTGCTGGTCGCCCTCAGACACTGCGCAGGCGGTGGGGAGGCGGGGAGGGCGTGGTGGGGGCGAGTGGGCGCAGGGGCAGCGTGGGTGATGAGATGGGGAGGGGCTTGGAGAGTGGCGAGGAGGGAAGGGAGGCGAGGGGTTGCCTGGCGCCGTGGGCATGTGGCTGCCAGCCGAGCAGGCACATGCGCCGCGCCCGCCGCACCAGGCAGGCACACCTGCCGCGAACTGGCTAGCTGCACCAGCCGCCCACGCAGCTGCCCCACACACGAGCATGCTGCCACGGCTGGTCCGCCAACGCCGCCGCCCGCTCCGCGAGGCACGCCGCCATGCACACCGCCCGGCGCGCCTCAACCGGCCCCAGCGCCGCAACGCATACCCGCACCCGCCGCTGCCACCCGCAACCCGCGCCCACCTGAGATGTCCACTCCGTTGCGTGCCAGGATGTCAACCAGCTCTGGGTCGTTGGGCAGCACAACCAGGGCGCGGCGGCCGTCCACCGCGGTCAGCTGCAGCTGGGTGCCGTCCTTTGAGAAGCGCACGCGCTCCACCTTGCCTGACTGTACCGCGTTGATGAACTCGCTGTACCGCCACTGCGTGCCCTCGGGCAGGCCCGCGGAGCTGGAGGCCGCCACCGCGGGGGCTGCCGCCAGCGGGGCGTCCCCCAAAAAGGCGGGAGCCTGGGCGGCCGGCGCGGCGCGCTCCAGCGTGGTGGTGTTGCCAGACGGCGGCGGCGGCGCAAAGTCGGCGGCCAGCGCGGGGCCCGCGGCGCCGCTCACAAGGCCCAGCATGGCCGCGAAGGAAGCAAACTTCTGCTGCACGGTGGGCTCCTGGCGGGGCTGCAGAAAAGGGAGGGCGAGGAGAGGGGTGGGGCGGGAGGTCGGACCTGTTGCGTCTAGCGGCCGCCAGCGGCAGGCCACAGCCCCTGGAGCGGCAGCCTGCCACGGCGCTGTATCGGCAGCCGCAAGCCCAAATTCATGGTGAAAAAATGCGGGGGAGCCGTGCAAGCCGAGGGGGCTGGTGCGGGCGATGGCAGCGCACTGAGAGGCTGCACTGCGTCGCCCAGTGCGCCCTGGGCAGCGCTGGTGGGGTCCGACATTCATCGGGCAGCACAATGCCGCCGTTTGGAGGCCGCCGTGTGGCTCCTTGTGGGTCATGTGGCGGCACACCCACCTGCACGCTCGCCATCCCGCGCACGCTGGTCCGCTGGACGGGACGCTGCATCCTGGCCAGTCGCGCTGGTTGGAGTGCGCCCACGCGCACGCTGGAGCTCTGCATTGTGCTGGGAGGTGTGTGGTTTCAGCGATCACCAGCGAAAGGAGGAAGCAGGTCCCTGAGCGTGTGGTGGGGCGTGTGGTGGGCGAGGAAGCGGGCAATTGATGGTGGGCCGAGATATTTGGCGGGGAGCCGACTCACTCCACATGGCAGCCAGACTTCTGGATCCAATGCACGGCAGCCGGGTGACTGTTGCAGCCCATGCATCGATTGGGCAATGCCATCCGGGTAATCTCGCGAGATCTCGGAAGGCAGGGAAGGGAGTGCTCCAGATGGCTGTCAGCGGCATGTGCCCATGGCGGGTGCCGCCCCTGTGTGCCGCCCGCTGCACCCTCCCTGCCGCCAGCCACCAATTGCCCCTGGTAAGCAGCATGTCATTAGCGCCTGCTGGACTATGGAGGCCGATGTGATGCTGCTACCATGGGCAAATTGACGGAGCACTCCTGGTGATGTCATACCGGTCAGCCCTGTTGCCGCCCCAGTGGCACCGCCTCGGTGCACCTCTCCGCGCAGCTGTGGTACAGCATCGCCTCGCGGTAGGAAATCTGCGCCATGCATGGAGTGGTAAGGCTCGCCTTCACGGGTTGCTGGCCCAGCACCACGGCCCCTTCCACAGTTCCCCCTAGGGGTGGGGTGGCCAGATGCGTGCGTGCCCGCTTGCGGCTCTCATACCCCAATCCCCAGCCCTCACAATGGGTTCATTCGGCTCTCTGTGGGGCGCCCAGGGGGCTCACACAAGCAACTGGCAATTGTGGAGCCATGTGCTCGCCGCACTGCCCGCCGCACCCTCCTGCCGCCCGCCAACCACCCTGAGTCCTGTACTGCCAGCATGGTAGATTACACGACTGCTGCGCTATGGAGGCTTGCGTGATACCGCTGCCATGCAACTAGACGGCACGCCCTTCGTCAGATCATACCGCTCAGCCAGCTGCTGCCCTAGTGGCACTGCCTCTGTGCAGCTCTCATTGCACGCGCGGTGCCACTGCAGGAAGTATTCTAACGTTTTCTGGCCGCCCGCGCCACCACGCCGCTTCATCTTGAGTGAAAAATCAAAGAGGCTCTTGGTGCCGTAATGCTGCAGCACTGCCTGGTCGAAAGAAACCTGCAGCAATGCGCGGGGGCAGGCAAACTCAATGATTGAGAGTCGCCTCCTCTGCCAAATCTTGCAACAGCGGGCTGGGCAGCACCATGGAGCTTACCTCTTCCGTCGACGACACTAATGTCTCGTCCACTCGAGTGCCGGCAGTGTTGACGGCATGCCCCTTTTTGTATCGAAAGTTGTGGGTTGTTTTGGGGCCAATAGTGAGCCTGGGCTGCACGATGGATTTGATGGTGCGGTGGGGAGTGTATTTTCGGCGGCAGCAGGCCGTGTAGCTGCTGAGCACCCCCTGTCGCGGGCGGTCTATGTGGCCGTTGAATGAGAAGAAGCGCCAGTGCAGCACAAGCCCGGGATGGGACTCGTGCCGCTTGAGCAGGTCGGGCAGGGAGGAGACGCCGTCTTTCAGCACAATGAATTCACCAGCGTCGATGAAGGCTGCAGTGAGGCCAGAGGGCAACGACGGGTGGGAGGGAAGGGGGCTTGCACAGAGCGAGAGGCAGCCAGTCTGCATGCAGCTGATCCAGGAGCTGCGACTTGCCCCACACCCAGCACCCCGCCCTGGCCCAGCGCAGCGCCCGCTCACCCATCCACCGGTGCTGGGCACCGTAATGGTGCAGGCACGTCCTGAACACGGGCGTCTGCCAGTTGAGGGAGTGGCCGGGCGCTACATCTAGGTGTGGGTAGCCAGGCAGCGACTTGTTTGTGATGTAATGGTACTTCACCAGGCCCTCACCGATCAGGTCCTCCAGCACTGGCCGCATTGGGGGACTGCACAAAAGGTCCAGGGTCTGGGAGAGCGCCGCTCAGCCGCCACCGCAGCCGCCTGAGTGTTACTACAGCGGGCCCTGCCTGCGCTTCACACTGACGTCGGCGGCGCCCAGGCCTGCCGCTGGCCTTGCCACGGCCCGCTGCTGGGTGCAGAGGACAGGCCATGGCAGCCGCTTGGCAAACAGTAACAAGGTGGCACGCCAGCGCTGGCCTTGACCCACGCTGGCCTTGACCCACGCTGCCCACCACACACCTCGACTCTGTATCATACAGGTAAACCTTGCCAGCCCCAATTGAGGCATGATACAGGATCCACTCCCGGATGTCGCAATGCTCGTCTGCAAGGGTCCAGGGCCTGGCGGCCATCAGCAGGCCAGCCGGCAGCGGCATCCGGGGCGCCTGCTTGCGCCTGGAGCCCCCTCACCTTTCACCGCTATGCACATCGACACGTAGCTGTCGTTCTGGCCTCGAGGCAAAGCTGCCGCTTGCGAGCTTGGCCGCGCCAACAGCACCTGCAGCGTGTGTGCTTGCATGTCGCGAGCTGGGTGGCACACGCCAACCAGCAGCGGGTGGCAAGCAGCTGCCAAGCTGCCAGACCGCTGTGCTCTCACCTGAAAGGCTGACTGCTTGGATTTGAGGAAAGCAGCAGCCACCATCACAACTATCACTGTAAGGATGACCAGGCTGGCCACAGGGAGACGCAGCCGACCAGCAGCAGCCAGGGCAAAGTGTCCGTCAGTGCACAAGGGCTTGTCGGCGGCGGACGCTGCACCGCCAGCTCTGAGGTTGCTGCCAAGGCCAGCTGTAGCAGTCGCACGGGAGGGCATCCTCGCCTGCCTTCAGGCCTGCGCGCAACAACTGTAAACGAGCAAAGCTTTGGGTATCCGTCCAGGCTTCTGGAGCTGCCGATGAGGCACTGACAGCGGCGGCGGCAGTGGCACAATGGCTCCTTGTGTGTCGCACCTGCAGCTCACCACGCAGCGTCATGTGAACATAACCCGCCGACACGGCTGCATCGATATGGCCAAGAGAGCATGAGGCGCCCTGAAGAGCACTTGTGCAAGCCCCGTTCGTTCCCACGAGGGGTGGCGGAGCGAGGGTGATTCTCACTGTGCTGTTCAAACAATTGCTGTCTTGAAGAATAAGAAACTGGAAGCGATGGGTGGCGGGCGGCGGCAGATGGGGCCAGGGACGGCAACCTGCTGTGCGCTGTGCCGACATGAACTGCCTGCCAGAGGCACCAGCCGCCGGCAGCCACCAATTGTCCCTGGGCAGCAGCATGTCTGATTACATGACGCTGCGCTATGGAGGCTTGCGTGATACCGCTGCCATGCAACTAGACGGCACGCCCTTCGTCAGATCATACCGCTCAGCCAGCTGCTGCCCTAGTGGCACTGCCTCTGTGCAGCTCTCATTGCACGCGCGGTGCCACTGCAGGAAGTATTCTAACGTTTTCTGGCCGCCCGCGCCACCACGCCGCTTCATCTTGAGTGAAAAATCAAAGAGGCTCTTGGTGCCGTAATGCTGCAGCACCGCCTGGTCGAAAGAAACCTGCAGCAATGCGCGGGGGCAGGCAAACTCAATGATTGAGAGTCGCCTCCTCTGCCAAATCTTGCAACAGCGGGCTGGGCAGCACCATGGAGCTTACCTCTTCCGTCGACGACACTAATGTCTCGTCCACTCGAGTGCCGGCAGTGTTGACGGCATGCCCCTTTTTGTATCGAAAGTTGTGGGTTGTTTTGGGGCCAATAGTGAGCCTGGGCTGCACGATGGATTTGATGGTGCGGTGGGGAGTGTATTTTCGGCGGCAGCAGGCCGTGTAGCTGCTGAGCACCCCCTGTCGCGGGCGGTCTATGTGGCCGTTGAACGAGAAGAAGCGCCAGTGCAGCACCAGCCCGGGATGCGACTCATGACGCTTGAGCAGGTCGGGCAGGGAGGAGACGCCGTCTTTCAGCACAATGAATTCATCAGCGTCGATGAAGGCTGCAGTGAGGCCAGAGGGCAACGACGGGTGGGAGGGAAGGGGGCTTGCACAGAGCACGAGACTGCACAACAGCCAGCCTGCAAGCAGCTGATCCAGGAGCTGCGAACTGCCCTGCCGCACCCCACACCCAGCACCCCGCCCTGGCCCAGCGCGACAAGCGCCTGCTCACCCATCCAGCGGTGCCGGCGCCTGTAGCGCTTCAGGCACGTCCTGAACACCGGGCTCTGCCAGTTGAGGGAGTTGCCAGGGGCGACGCGGAAGTTGGGGTAGCCAGGCAGCGACTTGTTGGTCATGAACTCATACTCCACCAGCCCGGCATCAATGAGGTCCTCCAGCACTCGCCGCATGGGGGGGCTGGCAGCAGCGCAAGGCGGCGTTCGCGGTTAGCCACACACGGTCCCCATGAGCCGGCCAAGCATTGCCTGGCTGGGCCCTGCTCGGCCGTCGCCACCAGTGCTGCACGGTGCTGCCCTGGCCTGCCAGCAGCCAATGCCAGCTGTCCGCAAGCACAGCTTCCGCCCTCCCCACCTTGATTCCGTGTCGAACAGGTAAAACTTGCCGGCGCCGATGGAGGCATGGTACAGGATCCACTCCCGGATGTCGCAGTGCTCGTCTGCAAGGGCAGTACAAAAGTGTGGCCAGGGCCTGGCGGGCATCAGCCAGCCAGCCGGCAGCGGCACAAGGGGCGCCTGCTTGCGCGCCACTGCCCCTCACCTTTCACCGCTATGCACATCGACACGTAGCTGTCGTTCTGGCCTCGAGGCACAGACACAGCTCGCGAGCTGTTGGGGACTTGCGGCAAAGCTGCTGCTGGCAAACTTGGTCGTGACAACAACATCTGCAGGAGGGTGCATGCATGCGGCGAGCTTGGTGACACCCCGCAACAGCCGGAGGCATCGCAGCTTGCAAGCTCTCCATGTGCACACCTGAAACGAGGCCTGATTCGACTTGAGGAAAGCAACAAACAACACCACGAGGATGACCAGGCTGGCCAGATACAGTCGTTGGGGAGTAGCAGCGGGCAGGGCAAAGTGTCGGCGGTGCCGGCTGGTCGCGGCGGCGACGGTGTCAAGGCCAGCCGCATTGTGCGACATTCTACCTGTCCGTCACGCCTGAGTGTCACCTGTAATTGAGCAAGGACATCCTGCAAGGCTTGAATTGGCGGCGGTGTGCAGGCAACGGGGACCACTGCCGGAGATTGCCAGGCAGGGTGCGTCTTTGGTGTGTCTCACCTGCAGCGTCGCGGATGAGAAAGCATCGGTGTGGGCCCCCCTCCCAACCCAGCTCAAGTTCAGACTAATCACTCAGGCACGAACGCCGCTGATTCCACTAGCACTCTCGACAGGGGCTGATGCTGGTAGTCAATGCGGGGAAACAAGTTGCCCTGGGGAGTTTCCTAGTTGAATGATGCTGGCGGCGACAGGCTGGCGGCGGCACCTTCGCCAGCACAAATATTTGGAGGCCCATGAATGAGCGTCCATCGCCTGCTGCCAGCTGCCTGGGCTGCGGTGGGAGCCATGGTTGCAGGGGTCTGCAGCCCAGACTTGGAATCTGACCAAAATCACATCCCAGTGCAAGCACAGGGGCAGATCGTCGGAGCCGTCGCCGCCGCCGCCGCCGCCGCTACTGCCCCAGCGCCACCTCTGCCGTGCGCAGCTTGCAGTCGGCGCCGCCGCTGGCCAGCGTGGAGGGGCCCACCCAGGCCACGCACAGCACCTTGTCCGTGTGTGCCTCCAGCGTGTGGAGCGGGATGGAGGCCCGTAGATCCCAGAGCTTCACGGCACCGTCGTGCGAGGCGGTGGCCGCGTGGTGCGCTGCACAGCAGCATGGCGAGCGCACGGGTCGGGGGGGTGCTGCGCGGCAGGCAGGCGCGACAGGGCGCGGCACGCAGCCTGCCGCCTGGCCCGGCCTGCGCCTGCCGGCCCCCTTCGCTCCTGCCCTCAGAGCAGCGCCTGGGCGAGGCATCCGTGCCGGCCGGCATGCTCGTGCCCTCCTCCTCCCTTGCTCCCTCACCTGAGGTGGGGTGCCAGGCCACCGCCGAGATCCAGCCGGTGTGCGAGGCGCAGGACCGTACCGCCAGCCCCTCGCCACTCCGCACGCGCGGGTCCCACACCTGATAGGGAGCAGCAGCAAGCAGCAGCAGCAAGCAGAGCGTGAGGCTGCAGGCGTGCGCGACAGGCCTGGCGGCAGCAGCCAGCCAGCCAGCCAGCCACACAGCCGCACCACGGCAGCGCCGCGAGCGCCGGCGGGCGGCCGCGGGAGGCGGTCGCGGGCGGCAGCAGGCCAGGAGCGTTGCAGGCGGCCCCACCCGCAGCGCCTTCTCCGCGCCGCCAAACGCGACGAGGCCCGCGCCGCCGGGCGCTGCCGCCACGCAGTGCACGGCCTTGTTGTGGTGGTGGGTGTCGCTGGCTGCGGCGGTCTCCACATCCCACAGCCGCACAGAGTGCTCCCAGGAGGCGCTGGCCAGGGTGCCTGCAGGCGGGGAGGTGCAGGGCAGGCGGGTGGATGAGTGGAAGACGAACGTAGCGATGATTTTGCGATGGGCAGGCTGGGCAGCAACCCCGCGTGCCCCTTCCCTGGACCCAAGCCCACCTGGCGCGGCCCAGCTGATGCCGGACACACACTGGCTGTGCCCCTTGAGCTCCCCCCGGGGTGCCTCCACGTGCTGCGCCGCCGCGGCCGCCCCGTTGGCTGTCTTGCGCCTCTTCTTGCTGCCCGCAGCCGCCGCCTCCGCCGCCTCGTCGCCCTCCTCGCCGGCCGCCGCCTCGGCGGCGGCCAGCAGCACGTCGCCGCAGCGCCACAGCAGCAGGCGCGAGTCCCAGCCGCCGGTGGCGCACAGGTTGCCGTCGGGCGCGGCGGCCGCCGCCTGCACCGTGTCTGTGTGCCCCTTGAGCAGCGCGGCTGCCTCTGGGGCCGCCCCGCCGCGGGCCGCGGCCGCCACGCCCACCCACAGCCGCGCCGCGCCGTCGTTGCCGGCCGTCAGCAGCAGTGGGCCAGCGCCCGGGGAGGCGGAGCGGGTGGCCACGGCCACCGCCGCCTGCACGGGGCCCTTGTGTGCCACAAAGCTGGCGCCGCACTCCCCGCCGGCCCACAGCCGCACGACGCCGTCGTAGCAGGCGCTGGCGAGGAGCGGGGCGCCGCCGCTGCTGCCGCCGCCGCCGCAGCCCGCCACCGCGCTGACCCAGTCCTCGTGCGGATGCTCCTCCTTGGGCGTGGGCGGCAGCACCGCAGGCACATACTCCACACGCAGCACCGCTTCCTGCGCAAGCGACGAAGCAGGGCAGGCGGCCCGAGGGGTGGCGGCGGATCGGCGTGGGTGTGGGCAAGCATGCGTGCTGCGGCATCTGCCTTCCACAGCGCTCTGTGTGGGTGATCGACGCTGCGCAGTTGCTCGCCGCCTCAGGTCCCAATCTCCAACACCCCACGCACCAAAACCGGCGCGACACCACGCAACAGCAGGCAAGGCCACGCACCGCAGAGATGTGCTTGGCCAGCAGGTGGCGGTGCAGGCTGAGCCGCAGCAGCTCGCCATCTATGAGGAAATCAAAGGGCCTCGCCGGGTCTGCAATCAGGCAGGCAGACGGACAAAGAAGTCGGGGAGGAGCGCAGCAGCATGGGAGGCAACGTAGTCGGGCTGGCGGCGGCGGCGGCGGCGGCGGGCGGGGCATCTCACCTAGCGCAAGCAAGTGATTGATGATCTGAGACAGGCCATACCGTGTGAGGTTTGCGGGCACCGCCTGCACGCGGGGAGCAACAGGGGCGGGGCATGTGGGCAGCAGCATGCATGCCAACTCCCGAGCAAGCTCTGCGCGCATCGCAGGCTACATGCTTACGATGGGAGCCTCCGGCACGCGAAAATCGGCGCCAAGCTTGGTAAAGAAGGAGCAGGAGACCTGCACCTCCTCTCCCTGCTGTGCCGCCGTGTTCTGAGGGGCGTGGGCGTCCATGGTGTTGAAGGAGGCCGCTCTGCCGGCGGCATGCATGCGCAGGGAGTTTTGATCGGCCCGCCAGCTCAGCACGGCGGCGGCAGCGGCGGCGAAAGAGCGCCAAGTCCTTGCAGCTGGACTGGGCACGTTGTTTGATTGGTGTCGCTCTCACACTAGCAGTACCTGCATGATGCTCAACATGCCAGCTGGCGTTGGCCAAACCAGTCGAACAGCGGCTGCTGCCGCCACAGCGCCAGCGGCAACCGGTCGCTCCCGGTCCTGTCTACCTGCTGGGGCCCCAGCAGAGGTGAGAGAGGATGGCAAACTGTTTCAAGGGGACTGGGACGGGAGGCAGAGATCATTTGCTTCTGCCATGAGTCACTCCTGGCTCCTCCAGCTGTGCGCAGACCTGAACGCCACATTGTGGCGGCGCCGCCTTCGGCGGCGGCGGCGCTGACTCAGCCGATCGATCTATGCTGGTTTCAAGAGCCTGCACGCCTCATGGGCTCCCCCTCTGGACGCCGATAGTGTGGAAGCCCACTGTTCAGTTGGCATCGTTCGTGTAGGGCCTTTAGCGCAATGGCGGCCGGCTATTCGGGGGAGTTTGCCTTTGATGCGGACGATGAGCCCCAGCCGCCACCACAGCGCGCCCCCGATCGCACCGCCGCCCCAGCCCACATTTCAATGCCACCGCCGCTGTCCCCGCTGCCGCCGCCGCTGCCTGCGCCCGAGGCCGGTGGCCCTCGCCCCCTGCTTTATGCCAAGTCTGCCCGGCTGGCGGAGCTCAGCCGGCTGCTGCCGGTCAACCAGGACCGAACCGCGCTTGTGCACAGCCTGATAGACGCCTACGGCCTGCTCGAGGTGCGGCAGCTTGTATGCGCATACAGTATTGCTGCTGCGCATACGGCTGTTGGGAGGTGTGGGTCCTCCTCGCGGTGCCCGCGGCAGCTGCTTGCATGCCGCTGGCCCGGCGTGGGGACAGAGCTCCCACCCCACACACCTCCCCGAGCGCCCCCTGCTCAGCACACGCCGCTTCCCGCGCCAGCACCCGACGCTCCCGCCCCGCCTGGCTTGAACGTGGCGCCGCACAGGGGTGCGCTGTGGAGGAGGCGCGGCCTGCCAGCCTGGCGCAGCTGCTGCAGTACCACAGCCGCGACTACCTGGCGGCGCTGGCGCTGTGGGACCAGCTCCCCGAGCGGCGGCGGGCGGACTTTGGGCTGGAAGACGACTGCCCGCCCTTCCACGGGTGAGGGAGCCAGGCCCTCAGCCAGCGCAGCTGGCGCAGCGTGGTGCGGTGCGGTGCCGTGGATGGCGTGGTGCCGCTTGGCATGGTGGGGGTGGGGCGCGGTACCGCCGCCAGGCCGCCGAAGCCTTGGTCTGCCGGCTCGAGGCCTCTGCGCCCACGGCCCGCACCAGGCCGCCGCAGCTCCCGCCCGACCCTGTCTTTGCCCCCTGGAGGCACCACCCCCACCGCCCGCTGGGCGCCCGCTCGCCTCCCCCGCCGCCGCCGCAGGCTGTATGAGCTCGCCGCGCTCACCGCCGGCGGCTCGCTGGCGGCGGCCGCCGGCCTCTGCTCCCGCCTGCACCGCACCGCCGTGCACCTGGATGGCGGCAGGCACCACGCGCGCAAGTCGAGGGCCGCGGGGTTCTGCTACACCAACGATGTAGTGCGCAGCTGGAGCGGCGGCGCTGCCTGCCCGCCTGCTGCCGCCACGCCGCGCGGGGCCGCCCGCGGGCCCCGTCCACGGCTGCCCGTCGCGCTGCTCGCCAGCCGGCCGGCACATCGGCAACGTCATACAGTATAGCCCCACACACACCTGTCCTGTGCACGTCGCGCACGCGCGCGCCATGCTTGTCCTTTGAACTACTTCTTGCCTCCGCCCTCTGCGTGCTGTCCCGGTCCTGCAGGTACTGGCCATCCTGCAGCTGCTGGGCAGCTTCAAGCGCGTGCTGTACCTGGGTGAGCGCTGCTGCCAGGGCCTTGCCTAGAAGATCTCTTCTTCCCGACGGCGCATGCGCCCTCGCTCCCCTGCCTGCCCGGCTCTCCAGCCCCCGCCCGCCTGTGCCCGTCGGCCTGCCGGCACTCTTCCAATCCATGCATATGCCGCCCCTGCGTCAGGCCCGGCTGTCCCCCGCTTGCGCTGCCGTCTGCCTGCCTGCTGCCCGCCTGGCCGGCTGCCTCTTCTTTCTTTCTGCCGCCTGCCTGCCCGCCACCGCACCCACCCACCCCCGCCCCCACGCACATAGCCTGTCTGCCAGCTGCCTGTATGCTGCCTGCCGCCCCGCCACCGCACCCAAACACACACGCACCCACCCACACACACACATACGCTCTGCTGCAGACCTGGATGTGCACCACGGTGATGTGGTAGAGGAGGCTTTCCAGCTGACCAGCCGCGTGCTGACCATCAGCCTGCACAAGCACGCCCCCGGCTTCTTCCCGGGCACCGGCGGCGGTACCGTCGACGGCCCGGGCGGCCCGGGCGGCGGTACAGGCGGCGGTACAGGCGGCGGTACAGGCGGCGGCGCGGGCTTTGCCCTCAACCTGCCGCTGCGGGACGGCCTGCGGGACGGCCTGTTTGTGCGGGCGTTTGAGGAGGTGGCAGGCGGGGCGGTAGCCGCCTACCAGCCAGACTGTCTGGTGGTGCAGTGGTGAGGCAGCGGGCTGGCTGGCTGCTTGCTGCCATGCTGAGGGGTGGTCCACAGCAGCCAAAGGGCAGGGGGCAGGGCAAGGGGGCAGGGCAAGCGGGAGCCGCCCATGGGTGGCTCATGGCCATGCGCCAGGATGGCCATCGCACGGCTGCCCCGCCCCGCCTGCCTCCTGCGGCCCCACCCTTCCCCGTCCGCCCCTCCCCACTTCTGAAGACGAGAATGACAGACTCTGCCCTGCCTGCTCCCTGCCTGCAGCGGGGTGGATGGGCTGGCACATGACCCGCTGGCCGCCAGCTGGGCGCTCACCCCCGCCGCCTTTGCCGCCTGCGCGCGCCGCGCCGCCGCCTGGGGCCGGCCCCTGCTGGTGCTGGGCGGCGGCGGCTACGACTCGCCCTCCGCTGCCTGCACCTGGGCGGGCGTGGTGGCGGCGCTTCTGGGCATGCAGCTTCCCGACGACATCCCGGAGCACGAGTATTTCGGGCGGTACGGTCCCGGCTTCGCCCGGTCCTCAGGTGCGCGCTGGCTGCCTGCCTGGCATCGACAACAATAGCGACAGGTGGCAGCGAGGGCAGCGCAGGCGGCGGTGTGGGAGCGCCCAAGGTTAATGGGTCCCGGCCGCTGCTCCTGCCGCCGCACGCACTCTGCCACGCACGTCCTCTCACGCGCATGCACGCCCCCACGCGTTACCCGTGCAGTCACTAAACGGCTGCTGCCACAAGACACAAACGACGAGCAGGTGGTGCTGGCTGCCTGCCGCGGCCTGGTGGAGGGGCTGCGGGAGGCTGCGGCGCGTGCGCGGGGCAGCGGCTGCGGCGCCGCCGGCGGGCATATGCATGAGGCGGCGGAGGCGGCGCTGAAGCGTGCCAGAGCGGGATGACCCCTGGCCAGCTGCGCTGCTGTCGCAGAGTAGGGCTGGATCTCACAGGCTGCACTGCTGTGGGAGAGCAGGTAGACACTCCCGTCTCAACAATGGGCAAAATAAGAGGCAGGAGTAGGTTGCAGGCAGGGGCAGAGCAGGAGCTGGTAGCCGGGCAGCCGCCGCCGCTGCCGCCACCGCCGCTGCCAACACTGCCGGCTACCGCCTGCCCAGGCGGCTGTCGTACGGCGCCTGGCGGGCCAGCTCCTGCTCGGGCTGGTGGTCATGCTTGACCACCATTGTGTACCGGTGGGAGCCTGCGGGGCACGGTGCACAGGGGGCAGCAGCACGTCGTGGCAGAGGAGTTGGCAGGGGGGCGAGGGCGAGGCACGGGGGCAAGGCCGCAGGGCCAGAGGATGGCAGGCGGTGACCACACGGGGCGGCGAGGCGCGGCGGCGAGGCGCAACTAGCAGGGCAGGGCGCGGCAGGGCGGCGCCAGCGGGGGGCGAGCCCAGGCCAGGATGCAAGCACAAGGCATGCAACTCAAGGACAACAGCAGCGTCGGGTGGCACTGTTCAGAAGAAGGGCAGGGGGCTGGCTCACCAGCCCCGCTGTAGCGCCGCGCCAGCGCCACCCCCAGGGCCATCACCAGCGTGACGAGCGCAAACACGCCCGCCACCGCCACCCAGCCCGTCAGCGTGAGCACCCCCTGGCCCGCGGTGGCGGCTGTGGCAGAAAGCGGGGTGGGGGTGGGGGGGCACGGGCGGCTGGGTGAGTGAGCGTGGGGTGGGTGGTGGTGGGGCAGGGCCTGCTGTACCCTGAACCCTTGCATTCCACGCCTGTGGCGTAATATGGAAGTAGGTTTGCGGCAGGCTGGGCCAGGCCGCGGGCGTTTGCAGGCCGCGCCGTTCCAGCTAGCAGCCCCAGGCGGCGCCAGGCGTCCGCCCGACCGACCGAGCGCAGCACGCCCCAGCCCCCGCGCAGTCCCGCCCCCCACCACCCGCCCAGCGCACCGGGGTTGTGCAGTGTGCCCTGCTTCAGGCCCAGCGAGGCCTCGATGGTCGCCAGCTGCGTAACCATGGCGGTGGCTGTGAGGGAGTCCTGGAAGCCGGCGTACGCGTTGGCGGGCGCCGCCAAATCCAGAAACGCCAGGCAGTCGGGCGCCAGCTGCGCCTCGGTGCGCGGCTGCTGCTCGCCCAGGGCGCCGGCAACGGGGTCTGCCTGGGCTGCCTTTGCCGCGGCGGCGGCCGCGGTTTTGGCCCACGGGTCGGCGCCGCCGCCCGCCGCCTCGTCGTCCTCCTCGCCGGCCTGGCGCAGGTGCCGCAGGTGGGCGGCCGCAGCGGCCAGCACCCGGCGGCGGTTCTGGGCGGGGTGGCGCAGCGAATGCAGCAGCTGGCGCCGCCGCTGCCCGTCCTCCTGCTCCTCCTCGCCGCCGCCGCTGCCCTCGCCGCCCTCGCTGCCCTCGCTGGCGCCTTCCTGCCCCGTGCTGCCTGGCTCCGCCTCCCCTGCCTCCACCCCCTGCCCCTGCTCCTCCTCTTCCAGAGCCGCCGCCGCGTCCAGCACCTCCCAATCCTTCTCAGCCTCGGCCGCCAGGCAGGCGCGCACCGCGCCCACGGGCGTGCGCCCCGACCGGCCCCGGCCGTTCAGGGCGTGCGGGCAGAGGGTGTGGACGTCGACGTCGCATGCATCCATGCCAGGCATGGCCTGCGGGGCGGCGCGGCGGCACCGATGGGGGGCTGGGCGGGGAGCGAGGCAGGCGGGGTGCTCTGGCGGTGGTGGCACGCCTGTTGCCAGAGGGGCAGCGCTCAGCCAACAAACAGCCAACAGCCTCATGCACAGCGCGGTACACAGGACAGCAGCCGCCACCCCACAGCGCAGCACACGGTACAGCAGCAGCAGCCCCGCAGCACGGTGCATAATGCTGTAGCAGCCATCCACAAAGCACCCCTCCACACACCCCACCCCACCCCACCCCACCCCCCACCCGCTCACCGGCCTGTAAAAGTCGAGCGCTGTGCGCGCGGCACGGCTGACCTGCGCCGAGCAGGCCGCCGACAGCTGGGCCACACCGGCCACCAGGCAGCGGAACACGTCGCCATCCAGGCTGTCGGCGGTGGCGTTCTCAGCAGCGCAGTGGGCGCCCACGTCCTCGCCGCATGCGGCGCGCAGCTGGAAGTCTGCGGGGCAATGAAAGAGGGGAGAGGGGGATGGCGCTGGTGTAGGTCGATGGTGGTGGTGGGGTCGCGTGGGGTGGGTGGCTGTGAGCGGGCGACCGCTGATGGGAGGGCGAGGCCAGGCTGGCCGTGCTGTGCCACCACAGCCTGGCACACCACAGGCTGGCAGTCCTGCCCGTACCTCGAAACAGAAACCACCACCGCCACCGCCGCCACGGCCACCACCACCAGCCCCTCGCCCCCAGCCCCCACCTGTGCGCCAGTCCAGCAGGCGCCGATCCTGGAGCGCATCCAGCACCTCCAGGCACACGGGAGAGAAGTCGGCGCGCTCCCCGGCCTTTGCCAGCAGGCAGTTCAGCACGCGGCCCTTGCCGGGGCGCAGCGCAGAGCAGTGGGCGGCGCGCTCGTCGCGGCACGCCGCCGCCACCCCCGGGCGCAGCTCAATGGACTCTGCCTGCGGGGTGGGGAGGGG